GCTTTACTAGCGGACCGGGACAGTGAGAAGAGAGGATCGCCTTACCTGCTGTTTGCACATCTCCAGCTCGTGCTGCAAGTGCTGTTTCTCCTTGTCTGCCTGGTTCAGACTGTCCTCCTGTTGGCTACATTTATCCCACAGCTCACGTACCTCCCTCTGTAGGCATTTCAGCTTCTGATTAAGTCTGGTGACCTCAGACTCATGAAGGCCCAGCTGATGTATAAAATCAGGTTTATGCATTTCAAACAAACACACAGGCACAATATACCAAAGTTCAAAATCATCTGTATTCATAGCAAGGCTAAATATTGGAACTTATTCCACTTCTAAACACACTCTCATGCATATTTCATATTCCAGTAAACAAATATCTAGCATGCTGTACCTTAAGGACCCAAGGATGCCTACCTCTTCCTGAGAGCCACTGTACTTCTCCTCCACCATTTTCAGGTCAGTCTTCAGTTGCAAAATTGCTTGATCTCGAATATTCACCTGATTGCAAACATCATACAAATGGGAAAAGGGATAATTTCCTTAAGGCAATATTAAACAATAATGAGGCTGAATCAAAAGAGGTATGATGATGAAAAAGAAGGAGTAAATGCTGATTTGTGTTTTAATCAACACATCTGATAACTCTTTTATTATTATTTTTTACCACCCCCCCAAAAAAAACCAATACATTTTCAAAAGTTACATTTTGAGTTCGGAGGTCTCCAGGACTCCCCTATGGATATTAGAGGAGGTCTGGAAGTAAATCAATATGAAGAATACTGACAGTTTATTAAATGCAAAACAACGTTTCTCTTTGTGCTGCTCTCTTCCACCGCTAAGACCTTGCCCCACTTCCCGTTGTGCCAAGTCACTTCACTCAAGCGTCTTCACTGACCTACTGCATCTAACTCTTAAAGTACTAGCAAATCAGACAGAAAGCAGACTCACAACCTGCAGCAACATCTGCAACACTGAACCTGAATCAGAATCGAAAGAGCAGAAGAAAAAAAATGATTTCACTTCTAGGTTGTTAAGGGGTTTCATAAGTGGGCATTCACTTGGGGTGACAAGGGGTTAAGCCCTGAAATCCAGACACATGCACTTCAAGCATGGCCCGAGTTACCAGCTGCTGGTCACTGGGACAGCAGTGCTCCAGCTGGTGACAAACACGATTCTGCTGGGGTTAGACTGACTCGAGCGGAGAACAGCTCTGCAGTGGACCTGTTGGAGTAGTGTGTGCAGAGTCTTCGCTCCTCTCTGGCTATCGCAAGGCCTTGGCACAGAGCCTGCTGAGCTACTCCATACTCACAATGTGGAGGCTGCAAAAAGGAAGAGTAAAACTGGACACTCCCAAAGGAGAATAAAAGGGAGGAAATTATAAAAAAAACATCACTTGCTTATACCAAAGAGAAAAATATTTTTCTTTTTTAAAATAGTGATAGATGCACAGTATAAATAGTAAAATAGTGATAGATATGAAGATGTGTAAGAGAAAACACATAGAGATTCTATACTTTGAATGCACTAAAATTCTGAGAATTTGCGTCATCTCTAAATTCAAAAACCTGACATACACACTATGCACACAGGGAAAAAGGTCATTGTGTTACTATTAATACAGAGCAACTAACACCCAAATGAACTAGATGGGCCAAATGGCCTTTTTTCGCCTGTAACCTTTCTTATGTTCTAATACAAGCTACTGTCCTTTATTAAAGTCTAATCCATTTGGGAATGATTCCTATTCTACTCCTATACAAACTCAAGATATTAAATGTAAATATATTGTGGCACACATTCATAACACATGTCATTGATCTCTTAAGAAATCAGAATCGCCCTGCTGGCCCGACGTGTGGCAGCAGAGAGAGACAGGAACAACTCATGAGTGCCTGACCAGCCTCAGAGGAAGCTGCAGTCCCGGCTCTCTGACCCCAGCAGCTCAGACAGATGACCCTGTGAACCCATGAGAGTCTAGCATCAGAGGAACCTGCAGTGCCAGCAGCGATGTGGTTTTGGTGATCCCACTCACTGCCCACTACCATTCTACCACAGTTTCTGACAGGTGAAATCCCAACAAAAAAGCCCACCTGCCCTAGTGCCAAGATCTTTACCATGGAGGTTCACATGGGAAATATCCTCTACAAAACTGCTGGTAATCAAACTTCTTCACTGATTCTCTTAATTATTTAGGCAATGTTCTCTGACAAAAAGTGTTGCTTCAGTAATGATTAGATGAGCAGATCCTTAAATGAACCTGAACTGAACTTAAATGGCTGTGAAAGAGAAGAGATCGCATATCTGATTAACCAGTGATGACCCTTCATCTCACAGCCCTCAGCTCTACATACCACTACTTATGCAAACCAAGGAACAAAGACAGGATCAAAAAAAGGCTAACCATCAGCTAAAATAATTATAGACATTACATGCAATAATAACAGCCTCTTAGATATAACTATAAAACCAGATGTTGTCCATTCACTCAAAGGCGCTCCAATTTTTTTTCTTTAACATTTTGCATAAAGATGGACGGCAGCGACTCCGGACGTCTGCAGACTGTGGAACAGCGAAGGTGCCGTCACCCAGGCTGCTCGGCACATTAGCAGCACATGCCAAAGAGATGAAGTAAAGTGCCAGGGTCTTCTGGATATCTGGGTTTTGGACAGGGGATGCGAGCCGCAGGGGTGACATGAAACTAGAAAGTGCAATCCGACCCATTACCCAATACGGCCACACACGCGGTGTCGCAGAACAGGACAACTCGAACAGAATGACTTCACACAAACACGAAACCAACTGGAACGCTAGGCAGCACGAGTCCCATTTGCCCTGAAACCAGACTCATCAGAAGCAGGGCGCCGCGCTCAAAACCCTAAACTCTTCGTCTTCAAGTTCAAGTTTCAAGTTTATTGTCATTACACTCATTTATATGGTATATGATATAACAAAATGCTATTTAGCTAGCTCTCGGACATAAGTAGAACAAAGAGAAAAAACAACAACAACAACAACAACAACACAATTGTGTAGCAAAAAAAAGACAGAGACAACAGGCAGTGTGCAAAAAACAACAACAGACAATGTGCAAAAAAACAACAACAGGCAATGTGCAAAAAAACAACAACAGGCAATGTGCAAAACAACAAAAAGGTAACAGGTTATGTACAAAAATATGCATCAACAGAATAAAATAAAGGGATAGAAATTACGGGGAGTGAGCCTTTGACATGTAAGTAGAGGTAGATTTTCAAAGTGTGTTTGGGTTTTTGGTAAGAAAGAAGGCACTGTGAGGTTCAGATCACAGGTGAGAGGTGAGCCCTCCCCGCTCTGCCAAGTCTCCCCTCTGGGGACGGCTAACTTACAGCTGAGTACCAGCACTACTCGCTAACAGGTGCTCAGACACGGAGCCCGTGAGCGAGCCGGACTTTACCTGGCCAAGCACGTCACACAGCCGCCACCAGCAAAGCCACTCGCCCGCTGGCAGGCCTGGGTGGACTAGAATAACGGAGTGGACTGCGGTATTCAAACCACCTAGGGGATCAAATCTCCCAGGCTTGTGTACATTCAAGCACCGATGTGTTTTCAATAGCAGACACACAGCACACACCACATGCATACGGAAATCTGAGCCTTCACCTGACAGAAAATACTGATTGGATTTATGCACCGGCTTTGCTTGTCTCAAAACATTGATCACTGCAAACTGTATATAATGCTGTACCACAACGTGGTGCAGGAAACAGCTTTGTAATGGCAGAAATAGGAACCACACAACAGCTGCAAGCAAAAAAAAAACATTCAGACACTGTTCTCTAATAACTAATAATAACAATACAGAAGCACTTCCACTTATAGCTGCTATTGTGGAAAATGCGTTTTGCTAAAGGAAATGTTACACATATTCAAATTGTGTTTCTGGTGCCTCATCATTCACAGAAGAATGACTCCTTGACCCCATTTTGCAGCTCTCCTCTGTGGCGATGAGCATCTTTATGTAACTTCAGCCGTCTCATTCAGCTGGCTACATCTGTCAGGTGAGCACTGTGAGGTTCCCCAGCCTTGCTCTCTTTTTTAAAATGAAGGTTATTGTTATTTGTGCTTGCTATTCCCTTCAAAAGACTGTCGCACTATATTCTGCTGGTGTCACTTTCACAAAAAATCTCTCATATATTAATTTGCTAAATAGAGACGTCAACATATTAATTAGTCAAGACAATTCAAAGCCCTTAATAATACAAACTATTCAGCTGTAGGCTACTGGATTTCAACTCCATTTCAGACAGCTGTATCAAATTTCATGCAGATATTCTCCTAGCCTTTCTCCTGACAAACTAGAAATAAGAACATTCTGTGAAATTTCCAGACGTATTACAGCAGTTGCTTTCTGAACTAAAGAAAAATACATCTGAAATACGCAATCTGGATTTTTCTTAAACTGGCCTTTGACTTTTAACATTGATTACTCAACAAATAGACCAATTCCCTTTTCATTAATTTGTGGCATTTGGCTGTTCTATTCCTCCATCATAATGAAAACATGTGGAATATGCTTTGATTACCATGAATCAGATTTATGTTCCTGAACTTGGAACTCTCCCTAAGAAGAGATGTAGTCACATTAAACTGAGCTGCTCTTCAAAATATTTCAGAAAGAGTAGGGGGATATGTCGGCATGTTAGTCTTAATTGCATATGCAAAAGAATATAACTTTGTTTATAAATACAACTAATATGTCTTAATCAGTTTTCTTAAGCAATGCTTGCAAAGTAGGTTAGTTTATACAACGAGGCAGCAGAGACTTCAGGGTCTGACAATGAAGTTTAATTTAGCACATAATGTATGATAATTAAGCATTTAAACCAAAAAACAAAACGTTTCCTGTATGTCCTGGCCTGCCTGTACCTCTTGTTGTGCTGTTCTGTGTTTCTCCATGACAACCGCCAACTCCAGCTCAAGGTTCTTCTTTTCACTGTTCAGCTTGTTAATGTCCTGGGATTGCTCCTTTATTTGGTCTGTCAGCTGTACAGTCTCTTCCTTCAGCTTCTGCATAAGATTTTCCCTGTGGAGCAACTGGAAACAGAAAGCAAGGATGCAAGGCTCATTTCGAATCACTTAACCCTCTCTTTCAAATTTAACAAAAGTGGAGGAAACCGCTAGTCTGTACTGCTGTTGAGGAAGTGGCATGAATTTGAACCAAAAAAAGGGGTAAAAAAACAAAACAATGGACCTGTTCAGTCTTTAACTAATGCTGAAAAGACTGTCAAAGTAAATTAAGCAGAGCTCTTAAATACAACAAAATCTGTACACTGTTTTGCTTGGTGACCATGGTTCAGGTTAAATAATTTCGGTGTAATTTTTAATGATACTCTGTACTTCATTCTTACAAAGAACTTCAGTATTTTACACAATGATTTCTTGAGGTTATGACTTTATTTTCGGTAAAGGGATGAATGCTAATTTCAGTTGACACTGGTAAGTGAGAGGACATGGTCCCCATTTTTAGGTATTTCTCTGCCTATTTGACATCTGATTATTCACTATCACTATTTTTTGCAAACCTTGTGAAGAAAATAGTTCTAAAACGAGCATCTTTGTAAACAATGATACATCCTTGAAAATATAAGGAGTGGTTAATGTGTTAACCATTATATAAACCCCAATTTAAAAAAAAAAAACATTAGGAATTCCCTAAAGGCTAAAGAAAAGAGGTGTTTTCTCAGACAGCTGAGGAGTGTCAGACAGAGTTTTATAAAATCAAGAGCTGGCAGTCTGATAAAAACATGCCAAAGGATTTCAGGACCCTATGGAGAAAACCTCACACATGTTTTAGACTACAAGCTCAATAGAACATGTTTGAATTTATAGTATTTGATATTATTAACAGTGAACATGTAAAACCTTAAGAAACAACAAAAATATCTATAATGAACATATGCAGTTGACTAAAACTAACTGCAAAAGTCTGACTGAACCACAATCATAAGCTGAGCACGGAAAATTCCATGGGTCGCCCAAAACACCTCCTAACGTTCCCACACAGCATTCAATCTTCTCATTTGCAATGTTATATGAGATAACAATCTTCCATATATTAAGATCAAAATTAATAATATGGCTTTTTTGCAGACAGATTCTTTAATCTCTCATTTTTCACAAATGCAAAACCACTACTTACTGCTACATACCTCTTTGTAACATTCAGAGTACTGGTTTTGTGCTTCTAACAGCTCCTTCTGTAGGACTCCCAGCTTGGTTTCCTTTTTATGTATCTAAGAATAAGCAGATGCCATTAACATGGATACGAGCACAGACAAATACAGAGCTCTGAATGCCAGGTTTCATTCACCATTCAGAAAAGCACGTTGTACACATTTTCACTTGGTACCTGTAAACACAAATTTGAAAAAAAAATGATTCGAGCAAAATACAGGCTGAGAGAAGGAAGAAAAAACAGAACTTTCACGAGAGCACTATTAATCTGAAAATGTAAAATTAAATATTTAACCACGCCACTGTCTTGAGAATAGCTACAAACGACAAGAGGACATCAGGCCCAATTCGCTCCTTTGGTTGGTTGTAACTAATTGATCTGAGGATCATTTTAAACTCCATAGCATCTAGAGATAAAAATCTTTTCATATTTAATTTCCCTTCACAACAATACAGTATGTAGGGCATTACAGCAAATCATTTGTTCACCATTGTGAAGATGTGTAAGGGTAAAAGTGGGTGTTTTTTTGTCATGGAGAAGTAGGAACAACTTCCTTGTTTACCATTTTGCCTTTGAATTTGTTTGGGCTTTCTGTTTTTATGGTCATGTCTAATAAGCCACTTTATATGCTGGAAGTTTATCTCTGGTTTCAATAACATCTTCAATCTTCTGTTTTCAGAATGAGAGTCAGTTTCTTTAAATGAGATATTAGTTTCAATCAGCACATGGGGTGAATGAACCGTTTAGAAAGATCTTGCCATTGCGGCACCCTCTGCAACATGAAAGGCTCTTGTCTCCCCATTTTCTAAACACAGAAAAATGTATCCCTCCAATTCAGAATATTGAATGTCTTATGGAAAGTGAAAGGTCATTTGTTACTGTCCACAGGATTGATGGAGTTAAGATAGCTCCTTGACCTTCACCCCGCACGCATGAAGAACAGTCTCAGATGACAAAGCATCAGGCAAGTTTACACAGAATGTCCTTACTTATTCCAGATTGCATTTCTGGCTCGTTCATTTGTGCGCCACTTAAATGCATGTCAAGATTTAATTACCCCAAGTCCTCCTTCATTAAACTGCAAACTGTCATTTAATACTACTTGGCAATTCCAGCTATCTGCACCAATTCAAGGACTTTTGTCTGCTTTCTGCCGTCATTTTAAAATGATATTCTGGAATAATTGCTTTCGTGGCCTGTGCAAACAATGTCAAGGTCAATCACAGCCCAGCCTTGTCTGCCTGTGGCTGAAGCCCTCACTTCAGTGCGGCCTGCGGCCCCATTTCACATCTGAGCTTAAACGTGGCGAGGGGGCAGAACTCCCTCCTTGCCTCTCTTGTAATCCAGTTCATAATTGATGGCAAAAGAGATCAGAACAAAATAAAACGGGCTCAATGGCGTTAAGTCGCTTATTAAAAACAATACAGCAACCCCATCCTTCCCAATTCATTCAGCGCTAAATACAGGGATTATTTTTCCATGTCCAGGCTTGACCCCTGGATTACAGAACTGCACTGTGTGAGACAGAGAGGGGGAAAAACCTTCAGTCCACACAGATACTGCTGCACACTGTGAGACGATTTTTTTCTTGGAGAAAGGAGGGGGTTAAAAACAAGTAAAAAGCAAGATTAGTATTTTTTTTCCAAGAAGGATCTGTTGCATTTAAACGTTATTTTCTAAACTGACACGCATGTAAAATGTAATGCTGAAATAGTCATAATATAAATCAAAGGTTCTGTCAAACGCAAAAGAATTCACTCACAATTTTAACAAGAATGAATGCTAAGATATGAACTGGGCATTTTCTCTGTGATGAGACTGCACTGTATCCATGGAAAAGCTCTTTGATATTTGGATTATTTTGCCAGTGGCCAAGAAAGCAGTTAATATGTTTCACAGACTGCATCAAAAGCTCTTGAGAGAACTGTATCATATCTGTACTGCATAATTTCTTTGTGTTTGTACATTTTACGCATGCATAATATATCATGCTACACCCCTCCCCAGCACATTAAACAGGCTCATTGTAGCAGACTTGTACAGCACTGACATAAGGGCAGTGTCACAGCAGACACTTCAAACATAAGAAACAAAGATAATTAAAACAGTGTACAATTCATCCAGAGAAACTGTATCATGATGCAATGATTAAAAAGTAATGTACCTTTTACACACTTATTTGCCAATACTTTTAACTGCACGTCTACATTAGTTACTGAAAATACCCGCTCAACAAATTTCCCATCTTCCGAAACCCCACCTTAATTTAGACACGACTTCACTGGCTCCCCATTACTCAGCTCATGCAGTTCAAAAATGTACTTTTAACTTCTAAAGCTCCACATCATCTCCACCTGTCTCAGTAATCCCCGTTTTCCAAGCAGGGCTGTATGTTCTGCTGAGGCTCACGTTCCAGCAGTACCTTCGTACTGTAGGCACAAGATCCTGGGACACACTTTTCAAGTCGTCCTCCTCCACAACTCCACCATTATTTACAGTTTTTAAAACTACACCAAAAATGTATTTTTTCCCTTTTCCACATTTTATTTATTTGCACCTTTATTTCTCTTGTGTTTAACCCTGTTAAGTGCCCAAAACACTGTTAGCATACATGGGCACTGAACTAAATCCTTTCCTTAAAGCAGGCGTAAACCATTTTAAGAGCCAATTAAAAGTGCCAGATACAGTCACAAGGGTTCCATTAACGTGAGCTCCGTCAGGAACACCAGAAATGCGTCGAAGTGGACATAAGCTGTCCTAGTTCTGTCACTGCCACAGGTGGACCTGGGCAATGCTCAATGCATCCCAACTGCAGTGGAAGCACTCAAAGAATGTAGGTCTGCTCATGCAGGTCGAGTGGCAACACCTTCTGCAGGTCTGTCACGCCTGCGGCTGGGCCAGAGAAAGCACCAGCAAACCAGCAAACTCTTGACACCACCACCGATGTGATGAGTGAATATCTGATTGTGATGAGCAAGAGAGCAGAGAGATGAGGGGAACAGAAGCCAAGAGAAAAGAAATACCAGAGAATGGGGAGAGAGGAGGTAAAAAGAAGGATAAAGAAGGAAATGGGCGAGGCAGACTCCAGAGGGAGGATTGGAAATCGGCAGTCTGTAGATGGACAGAGATGAAGTGGTGGCCTTCTCAGTTTGCACATGCTCTCTCCCTTTTTTTTAAGCTGCTTTTCCCTGTTCCGCCCGCCGGCTGACGCAGCTCCCCGGCCTCACTCTGGTCTTAACCAGGAGGTGCGCAATGACTGAGCAAGATCCCAAACTGAAACTGAACGCACAGTAACAGAGCAAACATTAACTGAGTTTCAGAATTTTTTACAAGTGCTAAAAAAAAAAGCAACATGCCAGGTGTTTAAAACATTTGGCTTTAGGACAAGTTATATGTTTTGTCAGGTGTGAAGTTCCTAAATTAATTAGGACCATGTATACCAATTTCTGCAGAAAATGAATAAATGTTAAAGCGGCTTTGGGCTAAAAATGAGACAGAAATTATGAATCTACCCAGAGTGCAAATACTGGTGTATGTTGGGGAGGCAAAACCTCTTAAGGGTGATAAGATGTTACACAGGATATTCTCTTCTGATTCTGGAGTGTGCTCACCTTAGTCATCACCTTAGTCAGCTTACAGCTAGTCTTCCCACTGAACTAAAACTAAATAGAGTATTTCATGTAATGAAACAAATTACAGTGTAAAGTAAATATGTAATATTTCCTTATTTCCGCCACACTGGAATAACATCTCCAGCTGCTTCCGCTTCACCAGATCTGCGCCACTTTATAGACGTCTCTGTGTGCACTGGTCACTCGTGCTAATGCTCAGTCTTCCCTGGTGGGACTGCATATGAGAAGCATATGCAGCAATCAAAACTATCACTTCTTAAGCATGTTTTTGCCGGGTCCTTTGTTAATTACATTTGATTACACAACGGAGGCTTTATCTATAACCATTTTGGAACAATATTTGCTCAAAGCTCAGCTTTGACTGAGGCGGCCTTGTTTTCCAGCAAGGCATGAAACCATTCTCAGCTTTATCATTGTTTTCAAATGCCAAGCGCAGGACAGTCCACTGACATTCAGTCTGACATGCCAAGGGGAAGCAATGGCAGGTACCCTCTGACTCCTTGACCCAGACTGGCCTATTACAGTAACTCTGTTCTCATTACAATGTGGAACAACAAAGCTGGAAAAAGTGCTTATGTTCCAGATACAGGGAAGATGCCAGAAGTCAATGACTTACACATAACAGAAGCCTTGACATTCCCACATCGCCATAAGATAGGATCTTATCCTTAGCAATTATTTAATTTAATCTTTCTCCAAGTCTTGATCAGACTATCCACAGCAAACCAGGAGAACATAAGTAAAAACTGGGCAACTTACAGTATATAAGTTATATTAAGCTGGACAAAAAAAAATACCTGGGACTTGAACAAACCCTTTGGTAATATATATATTAAAAGGCATGCCTTTAAACTAAACGGTGTTGAAATCCAACCACTAGATGAAAAACTAATATAAATCCCTATCATCAGAATCTGACACAGCGGGTTGAAAATATGTTGCCACACCCAGACTCAGAAACCCCAAGCAATCTTAAGACACTGAAGGCACTTCTCCGGTTAAAAGAACAATAACAAGGTCCCCGGATCCAGCTGTACTGCCTGCACAGAGAGGGGCGTCGTGCTGGTGTAATTCACAGGCCTCGCCTGAACCTTTCCTCCATCCCAGCTGGAACGGGCTCTGCGACCGGAGCACAGGCCGCCACAGACGGCAGCTTGAACCTGAGATCCTGCCCAGTCTGGCAGCTTCAGGAGCCACAAGGCAGGAGGCAGGGCGATGCGATCGCGGAGCTCTGAATGGAATCTCCCACAGAGCCTGCTGGTGTTGTGCCTGAATGCAATCAGTGCTATTGTCACTCTCCTTTCATGCGGATTAAAGTTCACAAGCACTAATTGGCTTTTTTTTTGTTCTGCTGTATTTTAACGTAGACCAGCACACAGCTGACACAAAACACATTTTGTCCTGGACGGTTTTCCTTTTTGTCATATTAGCCATCTTACAACATTAAGCAAAAATGACCCCCTCTTCCGTGATTTGTTTTACATGCACGGCTGTTTTGGCAAAGAAAACCTATTAGAATAAAGAAAAAATAACTTTTGAAAAAAAAAGTTTCGTAATTGGGGCTTGAAATGTTAAAGCAATAAATAACCACAAAGACTTTGCATTAACATAAACTCAGAAACATGGAAAAACTTATTTCAAATGAAAACTTTCAAGTTATTTGTTCAGCTGCACTAATGTTTGGAAAGTTAGAAACAAAAGCCATTATTGTTCAATGTATTTTTTACAGGAAATAGACAGTGGCAAAGTTACAGTAGTTCAACATATGAGATCAGAGAGACAGTTTTTATAGTAAACCAAAACCAGATGTTGGAAAGACACGGGACCCTTGCAGAAATTAATAGCCATGTTGTTTGCTTTGCAAATCTGAAGATAGGAGTGAGTTGGATTAATTGAGAGCCACCATCCACAGGCACAGTTTTATCATCTTTGCTGTTTTGTTGTTTATTACATTTATGTCATAACACATAATCCTAAAAATAATGACAATTTGGGGAAAAAGGGCAAAAGAATCAGAGAATATTAAAATATAATCACCTAAAGGGTTTTACCACTCGCATTAAATCTAGATATCCGATGCTTTTATTCTTAACGGCTCGCCGCCTGAACACTATGATGTGATAACAAAATGAAAATATGAAGGCACTTTGAAAGCAACGTCTTGTGCAGATCAAGGCTTCCTTATTTTTTAAATCCCTTTGTCCTCAAAATATGTTAATTCTCCAGATCTTAACGCTAGATTTTACAGAAAAACTCTCTGGCAATGCATGATACCAAAAACCCCAAACCATACACACGGCTCTCTTTTATTGTATAAGATAATAATAATAATACAAATGAGTGCAATTTTTGAATGTTGATATGTAAATAAGGCATAGAGAGGTTAGGAGAATAAACTCCCTATTCTTGCAACAAACATGTACTGGGAATTCCTGATCACAGACGTTCTGAAAAACATCTGTCTATACAAAGCAGTTCTATATACCCTCTTACCTTATTGCCAGCTGCTTTCCTTGTGTCTTTTAGAGTTTCACTTGCCCTACTTAGAGCCTCCTGCTGTTTCAGGATCTGATCTTCCAGCTGTTGTGACTTTTCTGTTTTTTCCTGCAATTTGGACTTGAGCAGGCCAACTTCTAGAACCAGGGTGTTAATTTGCTCTTCACTGCTTCTCAACTAAAAAGAAAATAAAGATCTCTTTTTCAGCACATTCTGAAATATAATTGTTATCTGATAAGAGGGTAAGATAAGATACTTTCTAGTAGAGCTCAGAAGCATCCAAATTATTTTTTACCACGATCTCACATACTTTCACTGTAGCAGAACCTTTGCTATCGATCATCACTGTCTAATCAATTCTTGAAATTAACTCACAGAACAGATCATCTAACTTTTCCAGTGATTTTTCCAGAACTGCAAGACTTCTCTTCATTGGAAGTCTGTTCTGTAATGATCTCCAGTTTATTTAAGATGATCATTACCACATTTTATATAATAAACTCTAATATAACTCAAGTTAAACTCAACATTTAACTTTTCTAAAACTAAAGCTTTCCAATCTCTAGGACTAACAATTTCACAGAATTTAAGATACCTTGTTTTGCAGACTCTCAAGCATCTCCTTCATGTGACTACTTTCCTGAGAGAGCTCATTGTTAAGACACTCTTTCATTGTCACTGTCCTCTTCAAAGAGTCTTGTGTTGCCTTCAAGGAAGTCAAATCTATTCGCATGTGTCGGATTGTTTCCTCATGCTCATGTACCTCCAAGCAAAACCAAACAATAGTAAAAAAAACTGAGACGAACAGACAACACTCACTGACGCAGCGAGGCAGGAAAGTACGGGTGATAATGTGAGCAGCAAGACTCGGGCATACGGAGTTACAAGCTGGAAGAGACAGGAAAAAGCAAAGCCAGCACAACATCAGAAAAGGCGAGCTGAAATGTTTACACCCCACTGTATTTATTTTGTTTCAACAAATGGCATATTTATTCTCAGTTTAAATGATTGGAACATCTCAGCGGACTTACCGATATAAAACTAAAGAAAGAATCAGGATGAGCTATTGGTTTATATGACAACATATTAACCTTATCAAGATGATATTCAACAGAGACAAGTTTTGCTAGACTTCTACTGCAGATGCTTGACAACACCGTCACCACTTGGCAGTGCTTTGCGATCTATTTTTATCCTTTTATTTTTTAAAAATGATGCTTAGCGCATAAGAATTAGAAGAAGTGCATTAGTATCAAGCAGATGAAAAAAAACAGCATAACAGAATGCAGCAAATAAGGTTAAGCTTAAAATCCAAATGTTACACAACCAGAGACGCTTTTGATTAGCCTTTGCAAGTTAAATTTAATTTCTAAATTATTTATGACAAGTAACCTATAAAAAGATAATCTTGTGCCAATTAACTTCAGACGATGTTTGTTCTGCTAAGAAATACTGTAATAATGTATAATTCCACATTTATAGTCAGAATTCTCGCACATACAAGTGTTTTACTGATGCATATTTGATATTTGACAGCTTGTTCGGAATTCATGAACTGGCATCTGCTGCCCCCAAACCAAAGTGTTCCTGAAAACCCAATGTCCCGATTCACCGATGCCGTGTGAAAAGAAATGTTTTGCTGGACATGTGCAGCGGAACGTGTGCCTGAGGACAGCAGGAGACGGGCAGCACGTGAGACCCTGCACTGTCTCCTGTGGGCAGGGTGATCCTGCAGTTCGAGAGCGCTGGACAAACACCTCACATTACATGCAAGTCCATGTGCTGTCAGGAGAGACATGGAAAGGGTATTCCAATAATCGCCTGAAGCCTTTGTGAGATCTGACTCAACAAAACCTGCCCTCACACCAAGCGAAGGCAGGGGTCTCCCATGATGCCCACAAGCTGCCACAGTGTGCAGGCTGTGGTCGAGCTGCGTGTGCAGCATCTCGGGAGCTCAGTTCTCTTGAAAGCAGGGGTATCTCAGTACTTCCACAATGAGAAACGGAACATCACGCAGAGGGTTTACACAAAAACAAGTTATTTCTCATAGTCTGTAGCTCTATCCAATCTGATCTGTTGGCACCACTGTTTTTTTTTCCAAGTAAAAGCAGGTGCCTGAACAACGTAAATGCTCCATGTCATTGGAATATAATACATTTCAAAACTGAACTAAAATATTTTTTTAGAGTGACATTTCCTACATATAAATGTGACTCACAGTGTATCATAATGTGCTACCACTGATTTCTCTTTGAAATAAAATTCTTTATACCATTTTATTCTGCATTTTGTCATTACAAACAATGCCATCGCTCAGCAATGATCAAGCAAAGGTGGCAAATGATTTTATTTTTCACATTTTATCAAATATGGGCCATTAGATCTCAATGACAAGGAACAGAAAGGCCAGGACGTGACATCTTTAAAAAAAATGCATGGATTCACAAATCCATTCAGTATATTAATTACAACTGCATAAAAAACTGAAAATGTGTCTGCAAACATTATGACGAGAGAATATCTAGTTATAATTTCTCAGGGTCAAAACAAAAATGTCAGCAGGTCTTCTTTTCAGGCTGAATTAAAAGGTAACATCCTGTAATTGGAATGTCACAACAACAGCACATTCAAAAATCAAAGAATATGAAATTGTGACTGTAAAATCAGAGACCTCTCTTGACAACTTCTGAAGGTATTACTCATTAAACTACAAGACTCGCAAGAATTATCTGAGAACTAGACCGCACAAAGAAAAATGACCAGTGGCAAAATAATGATATGGATAAAATATCAAGCAGGACAGTTTTTGTGAAGCACTAAAAATAATGACACAATAATGTCAGTGTAAATAAGAAAAGATCTATGAAAACGGCCAAAACACATTGGCAAGAAATTCAATATTAACAGGCTCCAGCAGACACAAAAAACCTGTCTGGAGATGCAGCTGCTATCTAGGTCAGACTTCACACCTGTTAAATATCAACAGGACAGAAGAACATCTTGATGTTTAAATTCCCTGAAAATGTTCAAAACTTGTATTATACATTAAATACAAGGTTTACAAGGTGTGGTTGTGACAGTGTACGAGTTACAAAGAAACTAGTAGAGGTTAATTCTGCGCTTAAAATAAACAGAATAAACAGCACAGACTTTTAGCTTAAGGGCCTTCTAAATATGTGTTTATTTATTAATATAGTTATAGTTAACCTCCACTTCCAAAACAAACCTCCCAGCTCATGCATAGTACGTGTACTTCACATTCCTATTCAAACCTAAGTTCTGCTGCTGGAAAATGTCTAAATAAGAGGATCTGAGCCCTTCCTGCCATTCCTGAACTGCATTCACGCATTGCACAGAGACCAAGAGGGCTTCCTTGAAGTGCCGGTGGGTTGGTATCCCATGTGGATCAAGCCTGTGTGGTTGTGTGTGGTCTTCCATGCTCTGTTTAATATGTGTGTACATTTACTTTGTGTATACCAATTCTATTTATGCCACTAGCCTCGGGCCTGTTTAAAATGAGTATTTGCAAAAGCATTACGACACAACTCATTAAATGGGCAAAATGGAGAGCTTTATTGTTAGTATGTATAACCACAAGGCAAATACTCCATGCAAAAGCTTCCCCTCACCTTTGAATGAAAACACTTATCCCACTATAGCAGCTCCTACTCTTGAGAAATTAATTTGCCTTTTTAAGTAAAGGTGTCGGGAAGTATCGTTTGGATATTCCTGGTCTCTACCCACTGTTTCTGGTTCAGTTGGAAAACAAGCTAGAAAGCCTTTAACAGTAACCTTAAAGTCTCTGATTTTGCAAGTGAGTGAAACCATTATATTTTCATTATCTTTTGTTAGAAAAACCCCCATGATGTTGTTACGAAGAAGTAATGCCCAAGTTGATGGTGGTCTAAATAATTTTGTTCAGAAGATGCTGTTTTTCTCCTAAAGTGCTATTTGCATTGCTGCTTGGTTTGCGTGGTCATGAAATGGGGCCTCCACTTAATGATCCAGCAGACACAGCCTCTTACCCGAACCGCATTGATCCCCGACTGGGGCTGGCTGCTTTATCTCAGCGTAATGCTTTCGAGTGGGAAACTTTCATTTCGATTTGTTTCATTTACAGCAGCGGGTAAGGTGATTACTTAACAGGTACTACATCCCTATTACACCAGTCATCTCAGATACAGTGTCATTTTGACAAATTGTTAAAGATGTCTTTTTCATCATGCGTCATTATTCACAGCAGCTTTGATTTATTCCTGTAAATGGCAGTGCTAAAAATTTGCAAAACTGAAATGCCAGGTGGATGCAACTACTTCTGTAACACTGTTTCTAGAATAAAGCTTGTTAGACTCATTCAACTCTTAACTCCCAGAATGCACATATGCAGACAGCGTAATGAGACGTAAACTCGCATACCTGCAGCACAGCTTCCTTTTCCGAGAGTCCCACTCGCTCAAGCTCTTTCTCCAAGGAAAGTATTAACTGGTCTTGTCTTTGAACGTCACTTAACGCAGCCTGATATTTATCCCGCATCTGTTCGAGCAATTTTTCAAGGGTACAGATCTGCAATACAGGAGCAGTCGGGCACAAAGCAAATAACAAAAGATACTGTAAGCATTTAGAATGAAGTACACCAAAAACACGTACTGGTTGTGTTTTCCAAGCATGTGCAATTATGAAGGGATGGTGGAAAGTTAATAAAGACTAACCACAGCAACATTATATCATCATTAGTATTATTATTAGTATTATTATTATATTCTTATTGTAGCTGTCTTTCTTCTCCATTTTGGGAGTGAGTTGCCATTGCTGGGTGGGGGTGGGATGTTTTGTGATGTTCTAAATGTTGGTTATTTAGTAAAATAAAAATTTTAAAAAATATTCACTGAAAGTGGAAACAAAATATAAAGCCGGCTTCCGATAATGTATATATTTGATAATGACAATATTTGAGCGCAGCCACTGAACAGAACGTCTACCCTGGACGTACAATCAGTGCCAGTGGAGGTAAAACCAGCTTCCACCAAGATTTCAGCAAGGCCTTTCTCCTGGTATGATATGAAATCAGCTAGAGTTATAACACTGGCATTAATCCACTCATCAGATTACAGCAGACAATTGCAAAAGGTGCACTGACAAGGTACCTTTGAAACATGCCCCACCGCCCAGTGCCCAGTATGATTTTTGTAATGGGATGTATTTAGCACAGGGCGACAAACTTGCCTTCTCCTCTGCCAGTGCCTGTCTCTCATCAGACTCGAACTGCTGCAGTTTCAGCTGATGGATCACACCCTCTGTACAGCTTATCTGTAGGGATGCAGAAAGCTGCTGGTCTCATTGGTGCAACACGGGTGACACGCACAGCATTTGCACACCAGATGAGTGGGGAAAGACAAACTGACCTCGCTGCTGAGAACGTCCTGCTCTCTCTGAGCTGCCACCGCCTGGGCCTCCAGTCTGGCGTGCAGCCGGCCATTGTCTTCTAGAGCATTTCGATATTTAAGCTGAAGATCTTGCAGGTCATCCTTGTGATCGCTGAGAACTCTTTCCAGCTTTGAAATCTTTATATGAATATGAAATTACAAAGTCACATACAAAAGCCTTCTTTAATTGCACTAACTCATTCTGTATTAGATAACAGATTGTCCAAAACAACTTTCATAGCAAAATACTTGGTTTTAACTATTAGCTGATTGGCTTATTAGAGATATTAGAATGTCTTTGTCAGATGAATTACTACTTCAGCTACAAACTTCAAGCATAATTAGCCTATAAACAGCTTTTGTTTACTTCTGAAAAAGTACTAATGCACAAGATAAAAAGACACTTAGAAAATACACAAGAAAGCAGTGTAGAAAGCAGCACAAGAAAATACAGACCTAGAGTGAAGATTTATCTTGTATTTGTAGCCCTCAGAAACAATAGACTACACAGTACGTCTGTTAAGACACCAGTAGGACAGAAACCTTACTCATAGGAATGTCTTATTCATATTAACCCTTGTGGTTTAATTGTCCAGTGTTCATTAACTGGAAGCTTTCCCCCCCCCTTTTTTTACAATAGAGAGCTCCTACGAATCCATGGCTGAAGAATGCTCTGCTTTAGACTGCGATTTAAGGAGACTGAATAATGTTGAAGAAGATGAGTAAGACCACTAACTGGAGTGCTAGCCACACATCAGAAGCTTTCCTAAAAGCATATCATACTTTAAAAACATAATAGGTAAATCATATACCTAGAGATTTTATACTTCTTTTGACTAAACAAACACTAGTTTAATCTGGAAAGTAAGATCAAAATCACACATACATATACACTGTATATAGGAACAAGTAATAGGTTTATTCCATAGTGAAAAGAGAAGAGAGAAAACACCACGTTTCAGCTGTGGAACCTTCTTCAGGTGAAAACTATTACTTGTTCCTTTGCAGACTACACATGCTGACGTAGCTACCCACCTGACCCACTATATACTGTATATAGTTTGGGGCTCTTCCAAACTACAGTATCTGCAGGGATTTGGCTAAGAACTGCATGAAAACCAAGATCAAGATCTTAAGAACATAAAACCATAAGAAGGATTAGGAATGAGAGAATGCTCTTCAGATCATCTGATTCTTAAACCCAATTAAATACTAACACAAAAATCTACAAGCAATGTCTTTGCTGTTTTTTTTTTCAGATTTTTCTTGTTGCATCTGAAAAAAAAACAATACCGTAAAACTGGAGGTGGTTTGCGAGGCCAGACATTAAATTTGCTCACTGAAAGGCTGCTAAAGGGGGCCCAGCTCACTGTTCACAAAATGGTTTAAATTCTTCTAGTTCCTTCAGTTAATAAAAGAAATGAAACACTCCAACTTCTTCCGAGCTGCCACCTGACAATCCTGCAGTCTGTCTGTGTGAACGTGAAGGCCGAACGTCAAGTGGAAAGAGGCAAGAAGGGTGGGGGTGCTCTGAATCCGGATGGGATTCTCTACTCTCCCGGGGTTAGAAAGTGGCAGACGTGTACATATGGGCAAAATATGGAAAAGGGACATCTGCATCTACCAAAGACGGCTGAGGAAAGTAGAGGTGTCTTATTCATAAAGCACAAGTTACAGTTTGGGGTTAGAAGGATCAAACTTAAATGATTTATAAAAAACAGAATTGCTTTTTCTTCGTTATACCACCAGATTGTGTGGCTTTGCATGACACGAAGAGAAGGGCGACATGGAGGCAGGCACCTCTGAGCCCCCTGTCTCGGGTTAGGAACTGACTGGCGGAGAGGCGGCACCTCTCACTGACAGCAGCGCAAGCCTGCAATCCCCCTGGAAGCCACAGAGGGCGCTGTGTTGCTGAGAGCCAAGAGAATCCTGGTTAACTAACTCAACAGCGCCCTTGGATGCACACTGCTGCTGGGGACCCCCGATCCCGGCAATGGATGTTCCCCTCATTTCTACTACATTACACATGCGGTGACTTTTGTTCAAACCAAAGTTGAGCTCTAACAATAAATAAAAGTAAAACAAAAGGGGTTAATTGTGAATAATTAAATGAACGCTACTAATTTTGTAAAGATACCTCTTAAGTTTATTATAAAGAATAATTATATATGTACTGCAATATATTTACAATGAAAACATGTAACTTTTGAGAAACAAAATCCAATTCCACATTTCCTGTACAATGGTAATCTATACCCTTCAATTCAGCGCCTTAGTACCGATCACTCCTAAATTAATGATCCATTAGCTTCCCATGTGTATAGGGATAAAGGGAGGATTATTTAAGCCATGCATGAAGTCTATAAATGACAAAGTTAATGCTTTTCTGAAACCAAAGCCAATAATATGAAGGAAAAAAACCTTTGCAATTTTGGGCAAAGAAGTTTGTTTTTATTTCCTGCAAATAGAAAACAGTCTTTAGTACCCAAAAACTAAATATAATACAAGTTGAAGCCAGAGATGTTCAAATGATGTGATGCATGACATGAATAACCCCAATAGGATCATCTGTTAGGTGGAGATGTAATGTCACACATATTCTAACTGAAACTCCAAGTGACTTTGTGTAGTTTTGTGCAATATTGACTGCAGCATCAAAGGAAAACATGCAGTTTTAACTTTCTGAGACAAAAACTATCATTCAGAAGTTTCCTCCACAATATCAAGATTGTGCATAACTTACTGCTAATAATAGCTGTCAGAATACTCTGTGCCCTTTGTGATAGTTACTGTTGCACATTCCTCCCCTCACAGGAAAGGACTCCACCCACGACAGTGAAGGTGAGTTAACAGACATAGTGACGTCATCAAAACGTCCTGTGAAATGTAGAAAGTATGTTAGAATGTTTCCGGTCAAGAGGTTGTTATAAGTGCAGCGGTAATTTTCAATACCACCACATCACTGTTTAAATCATGAGAATATAACATTAAAACAGCACTTCATTAAAACACCACAGGTCATGATAAATCTGATTATTAACACTTCTACCAGCTTCAAAATCCATACAAATAATTTTACAAACCCAAAAGCCACACAATTACAAGAGTAAGTATAGCTTTCTTTCACAAAGAAACCAAAGACAGGCAACAGAAGATCTGCCACATGAACCCTGCCAACAGTCCCAAAGTGCCACATATTAGCAGGACAGACACTCTACTAAAGTCAATGTGTTGTGAGATGTATATGAGCACTCAGAATAATCTCTAACTCTGAACATGGTCTGCTGTGTTTTAACTACTACTGTACCATAAAATGGCAAAAAAAATAACACATGTCCAGCTGATGCTGAAAGAACAACACAGCGGCTCTAACACACTGTCTGGAAAAAAAGGCTTGTAGTAAAACAAGCAGTGGAGAGATTAAAACGCTCCGTGCCATCTGTCTGTGGCTCCACTGTGAGGTCACTATAACTCCCTCTTGTACACTGATGCTGCGGCACAAGGGTGGCCAACCCTGGCCAGCAGGTCCTTCAGGTCACTCTTGAGGTCGGAAAACATGCAGGTTCTGATCGACCAAGCCAGCTCTGACAGGAATGGCCACCTGCAACCCGTGAAAGATACGGGGTCTGATGACACCGTCATTTCAGAAGATCTCTAAACTACTTAACTGCAGAAATCACCACAAGAAACAAAAAAAAACAACCTTTTTATACAGGAACTTTAGCACAGCTTCAAACAAGGGCAGGCTGTTGGGTCCATCTGTCCTGTTTTGGTTGATAGCAACGGTATTTATCACCTGATAAATTGGGGATTTCAGGCGGACCTATTTAATCTGGTGGTCTGGCAAACATTGCCTTTGAACAATTCCACCTGCTGGCTGAGTCGCAGTTGTGTACAGAGAGCGTACCAAGTAATGACAAACCTGACTAACATGCAGGTCCAAGGCCTATGTCTTGCGATCCTGCACACATATAGTACAGCATCTAAGATTGATTTTTAACATCTCGCAGGGGCAGAGTGAAGATTTGGAGTGGGTAAATGAAGTCAGTCAGAGGTCGGTAAGAAATAATTTTTAAAAAAGCAGAACGAAAAAAACAACTCTCAGTAGGACATGAGGGATAGAGGACACACAAGATGGCAAAGTGTATCGCGCACGTACACCACACACAAAGATAAAAGCAACACACAGTGACATACTGTTAAATTAAAATTTTATGTACAGTATAATACCACAAAAAATTACATTAAATATTGTAATATGATAAATAAGGACACCTAGTACCGTTTGGAGTAAAACGGCTTATTTTAATTTATCTAGCAACATAACCAGCTTCCAGCTTATAAAATGATACATATCTTTAATTATGCTGTCATAATACAAAGTAATTTGGCAATGATTTTACTAGAAATGAGCTATTTTTGTACTCCGTGAACTCTGTTTTTTTGGACATCTACAGTCTAGGGGGTGAAAACTCGGGGGGGCATAAAGTGGGGTCCCCCTGTATCTTTGACACACAGTGCCAACTGCTATGATCACCACAGTGTGGAAACCCTTAAGACTCTGAACACAACTCAAGCTCATCTTATAAAAGCAAGCACTAAATCATCGTATTCTGGACTTGGAATCTGCCTGTGAAGGATTTCATGGAAGATTTGCAGAGCACAAGCTATTGATAATGAAACTGAATGCAAATCACAGGTCAAATCGGTGCTCGGATCAGAAAGAGAGGAGAAATTCACACAATGAAGTGCATAAGACTACTGCATTTGAACAGTTTAAAACGAAAAGCAAAGGCAGCTGTGAATTCAATCAGCGTGAATGAAGAATTGTTTTTCCCCGACACTGCCACTTGAAACAGAAATGAGGATACCACAGCCTGAAAAATGACAATCGCTATGGTCCAGACAAAATATTGCATATTCCTCCTCATTCTAAAGAACTGCAAGTAGCACATTTTTTTATTTGATTCTAAACCAGAATTGCAGCCAAGGGCAGAGATCACACATTTGATTACCGATAAGCAAGCGTGTGTATGTATAGATATGTTGAAAAGAAAATCATTTAAAATACTTGCAAAAGATTTGCTCAAATTAAAAACCGCAATATAATACCAATCAAAAATAAACCCTTTTAAAAAACAAGGCTCTCTCTCTCACACACACACACACCAAGCCTAGGGCTTATCTGGACAAAAGAAGGTGATGGGTTCTTCAGACTCGTTTATGCAAACATTAACATATGGAGCCCTTAATGACTCTCATTACCTAGTGTGACAACTAACAATTATCAGCTGCCTTAGAGATTTTATCACACATGCTAAACTGTTGCCAAACTAAGACATGCGATAATGAAGACACAGCTGAAATGGGATGATGCAACAGACAATTAATTAAGCAATTAGCCTAATGAATTCTCTGCTCAAGCTCTTTTTTTTGGCTCAAGATATGAATTAATTACACTGTGTAATTAAATTAACCCGGTTTTAATTTCACAGCTGCACTCCTGGCACACCCTCTGCATCTCTCCAGCTTCCCCTGTACCAGAGGTAGGCTAATCTGTCCTGTCATCCGTCATGATGTCTTCTTCATACAGCCCTGCAGTTTTGCGCTTGAATGTCCGGGGCGAAATGCATGGTGGATAAATGGGAACAGACACGATCAGACGACGAACACAAACACGGTGACACGGCAGATTTAGCCACGACAGGAAACCCAGCGAATTAAAATCACAATTGGTTTTGACTGGCGAGGGAAGTGCCTGTGGACTCAACCGCAGTGTCGACAGCCCACACACGCTTCGCCTGGGAGTCGGACAGGGACCCCCGGAGCCCCGCTAGCTTCCCGTTCTGCATTTGAGCTGGAAATGTTAGCACCGCTCTGGGGTCCTAGACAGCGTGCGATTTGCGGACGGACGAGGCGCAGCGTGCCGCACCTTCTCCTTCGCAGACGTGCACTTGTCCTTCCAGCCAGCCAGGTCCTCGCCGATCAGCTTCGCGCCCAGATCCCGCTCCGGGGGCCGCTGTCCGGACCCCTCCCCGGGGCCGCCCTGCGTGGCCCTCCGCCGGGCCTCTCTCTGGAAGACAGAGGGCTTCAGCTCTCGGGCCGGAAACTCGCCAGTTTCGAACGCCAGGGCTAAAGGCAAAAGCAAGCGACTCGGGCACACTCCAGATGAACCATTCTTCATCCAGGTTCCAGGTTCCAGGTGACCGCAGTTTACAGGGACTCCGGAGGCCACAAAACACAGCTTATCTGGGCCCAGAATAGAACAGCAGTCAAGAGAAGACCTCTTCTCATCTTCACTCACCGTCTCCGATTCATAGAGGCGTGTGGTGACCCTGTCCATCTCCACTCTCGTGTCCCGCACACATCTCAGACAAACAGTCATTTTCATAGTGGAATTTCGTAATGTAATTAATGTGTTCAAGCACCTTTATTTAAAGCAGTTTACAGTATGAAATGAAACATAGTTGGTTTCGCCTCCCTTGCTTACCAGCTGGAGAGGGATCTTGGAAAAGTAACAAAAACTAGCAGACCCGAACTGCGGCTGTAATTATACAATATTCCTGCGATGTGTTATTAATCGGAAATCGTATAGTTATGAAAATTCACCAACAGTCCAGCAAAATAAACATGCTGTCATATACGACACAGACGAGGGCATGATTAGTGTTGTTGCTGCACCCAGATGAAAGCCTCTATCTGCCCCTTTCCCACTTGGGCAGAAGAATGCAGAGCTAATCCTACGCACGTCTCACACCGAGACAGACAGGCTCCGTTACTCATGCAGCGCTCACACACCTGGACAGTCCCATAGCATGTTCTGTAGCGCTGCTTTTTCATTCCTCCATGAAAAGCACAGAGCACAAAATTAGACAGTAACATATATGCACATTGGACACCCAAGCAGAACAACTGCAGATGACTGAAACATTACCAGCACCGAGGAGGAATCAGTGCAATAAGCATCTGGGTGGCTGGCGTGACTTTATTCTTTTGAATCCCATAGTAAGAAATGACCCAGTAAATCAAATGCCTATTACGGATAATTCTGAAGCCCCTACTTCCACTTATTTACAATTATTTCTAATGACTGAATTTACTCATGTTACAAGACATTTATTTTTGCTGCGGTTTTGCAGACTATACATTTTTATATCCCAAATTAATGTTGCCCATGTGCTTCATGGCTATTTGCGGATTAATCTAAAAATCCAAACATATGTTTTACAGTACAAGCCTAATACAAACCTTTCACCTGCAGTTCTACACAAATGAACTCACAACATTAATCACGATGAAAGTCCCAGTGGAACATGTGTTCTGCCACTGTCTTCAAAAAACACAAATTTGAACGCTGCTAAATATTCAACACAAAAATCCCAACAAAAATTGTTACAGTGAATCATATTTTAAAACCTTTAATCATTAAATGGCCAGTAAAAATAGCCAGTAGTGTCATCATAGACACATTCATCTTTCTTTTTTTATTTAAATTAGACCTGTTGGAAATTATGGCCATACTTGACACACAGAATTGTGGGACAGTGAGAAATAATACCGTGAAAGTCACCACATCCAATGAAAAACAACAGCGTCAGGCTTAATCCTTTGACAAGAAATTACTCTCAGGGACGCAAACATCTCCCTACCAGACTGTTCTCCTTTTCCAATACATTACCCCCCCCCCACAGTAGATTCGTTAAGACTGCAGATATTAGCAGGGTAAGCACCTCACGTGGATCTGTCAGAGCTCCGAAAAGTAACAGCACAGACAACACATTTGCACTGCAGACCATACAGGCAGGGAGCAATGACTGACGGCACGACACCAGCTAGCGACAGAGGGACCACACCATTGCTGTTCAAGACCCAAGGAAGAATGAAGAAATGATTTATCCTTGTGACTTCTGTAGGCACTAAAACCTGTGTCCTGTCCCACAGGACTGACCTTGCGCGAGCTGCAGGAGCTGAACTTTAGAGCTTTATTCGACCGTATGAGGAACTGAGACTCTGTCCTGGAAGGTGTTGGAATCTTCTTAGCTGCTGGGCCTGGACACAGATCTCTTGTGTCGAAGTGAAGTCATACAGAGGATAAGAACCGGTCTGTTGAAATATGTAGCTGCACCGCCGCGTCACTAGATCGGGCTGCGGAGAAACCCCGTGCCCTACAGTATGTCATTTACTCAAGCAGATCGGCCAACACGCTCTCCCGCTCCAACACGCGTGGGCTCCAGCGCGCCACCCATGTGATATGGTAATTCAGCGCAGACATATCATTTCGTAAATAAAAGAACCCTCGCTAATGATTAACTGAGGCTTTGCAGGAGATGGCATGCCGATTAATTTTACCCTCTCCAGCCAGAGTCAAGGTCCCTCTTCTCCTTTCTCCTTTTTTCTTGCTGAGGGTAAAAATTTAATCAAGTCCTTCTTTAATTTTTTTTTTTAATTCCCCACTGTCATTTTTTTCATTTGACATGTATTATCCTCTGTGGTACTGGAAGCCATTCTTGCAGTTTCCTGTCTTCCTAATTCCTACGTTTTAAGAACTGTGTGACTGCTGAGAAATTCTCACGTTATGCACTTCCTATTGCGATTTAACTTGATTTAGTGTTTCCAGTAGCATAAATTCCCTCTGCTGTTCTTTAACGCACTATTTTCCAGAGATGATCTTTATGCGTTTCTCTCCTTTTTGTGACTTGAAAGAAGGGAATCCAGGGGAACCAGCAGTTTGTTGCAAAGAAAAAAAATGGCGCTTTCCCTGAATGTTTTAATTTAATGTATTAATTTGATTTAGAATATACATGCGTGCAATACACTGTGCCAAAATAATCTGTCTTCGTAGTTATGGCAGTCGAATGCCATTCACATTCTAGAAGACAAGCAAATGACTTTGACAGATACATTATATAATTCTGCTAAACAGAGACTCAAAGCAGGTTTTTCAAAACCTGTTACTACTGAAATACATAAAGTTGAAAATGTCAGTAATTGGAGAGTTCGATTTAATATCTTCCACATCTCCTAGGGTATACCTCTGTCAATACTTTTACACATAATACCGCAGCAGAGCAAAATAAACAGCTCAGCTGAAACAAAGTAGAGATGCTTTATCGGGGGCTTTTGTCAATCTTATTTATTCTGTTATTATTATTTAATGCTTGTGATATATATTATTAAAAAAGCCCTGATTTATAATCTTACAGAAGAACAATAGAAGTGCCTGCATGATGAGAGAGCAAGGAAGCTCTCCCTCAGTAAATGGTGTATATTCATAAATGCAGACACAGAAAGTATCATTATTCAATGTCCTCACAGAAATTGAAAGCCTTTTTTCACTCAAATATTCATACCCTCTGCAAGTTGATTTATTTTCATATTCTGACAAGGAATTATTTTCCACAGTGACATTGTGCTTATAACCTTTACCTACTGTGAAATCAGCAAACATGCCACCACCAGTATACAACATGCGAGGGAAACTGGAATATATTCAGTTCGCAAATGTATTTGTATTTGGCACAATTATGTAAAGACTCCATCCTGGGGCAATCAGGAATGATAAAAAAAAGCCACTGCAGATCACAGAGGTGACATTTACTTTAAGAAGCAAATAAGGAATCACCAACATCTTTGCTTAATAAATAAAAACGGGGGGACATAAAAATCTCAGAATGATAAAATCACTCTCTTTAGTTAATGAAAAATGGAAAGGACACGGAGAGCACTTTCATTTCATGTACACAATTTTTAAAACCCTTTTTGTTAGAAGTCAAGAGGGCATTACTTTTGTGAAAATTACATATCCTCATGCAAAACTTGATCGTCTTTATTGATGGACAATGTCGTAAAGCCATCATTCTGTTTATAGACATTTAATTGAAGACAGCATAAAACGATAAACTAAGAAACATGCATGGTTGACTCCTCCAATTCAAACCATAAATCATACTGATGCTCAGACAAGTCGCCCAGACACAAATTCTGATGATAGATGAACCATTTAACTTTGATTTTTGAAAGCAATGAGCTTGCTAGCAATACCTCACACTGACTAATACCACATATGGTCATGCAAGGAATCGTGAAAAATCCATTTTTTCTCTGTGCGGATGCCAAAATAATCTTGCAAATGATCATTATTAAAATGTAGCCTGTATGTTATATCGCAGTAATGCACATAGCTGAAAAAAAATGCAGATTTGCATTGGAAGGCTATAATTTTGAGATGATTGGTAATCTTATAAAGCAGTCATCGAAGAACGTATCTCCCCATGTACACTAGCTATTCATGCATACCCATAACAGATAGATATATATAGAATGACAGAATTCTGATATTAGTGACATTAGAATATCTCTATTTAATTAAGGTGCAGTGGGATTGCTTCAGATACAAAATACAACAATCTCCCTCATGTTCTCCTTATGAGTGACATTTTTCAACGCAGCTTTCCGAGACAGGCAGCGGAAAAAACAATCAGCTCCTGGAAGGAAGATCCATTACAGACATTTAAGAAAATTAGAGGTGCCACGTTTTGTTTTGTTTTTTAAATGAGCAAGCACTCATTGTGTTTGTTTAACACGTTGAATTATTTATTCCTGATGAGCCAAACCAGTAAGCAGAAATACCGAAAAGATCAAACTGACACTGCACCCCTACACGCAGGGAGACTCCAGCTGGTGGCTCTCTCAGACTATCTGTGCAGCGGAAAGCCAACAAGGGATTTGAGGCTTAAGCATTACAATGCAAGGCCGAAGAAGAAGAACTGCATCCCCTGGGACGTGTTTAGCTGTGCACAGCAATGCCAGACTTTCAGTCTTGTTAGGAAGCAGTCTGCGTGGATGGAGCTCGGTACGGTAAACAGTAAGCCGGACTCATTAATGACGGACCTGTTCTGCAGGATTTCAGGAAAGCCTTACTTTTTTGGGTTACATTTTTTATTGTTCTCCAAAAAAAAAAGCCCCAAATAATTTGTCATTTCTAATCATCGATGCTGCCGGATTGTAGTGCTGTCCCTGCCCTTTCTCTACGTCATCATGGTCTTTTTTCATCTCCCTCATGTCGTTATTAAACAGTCCCATGTCCTTCCTGTGCCATTTGCCTGCAAAAAGATGCCAAGGACCACACCTCACTCTCGGGCACAGCTGATCCAAACACATGTATAAACACATCTCTACAACATGTGAGGGGCGCTCGCAGCCCCAGAAACTCCGAAATCTGGGACGTTGCTTGCAAGTAAAACACTGGGGATCAGAAACACTTTGACAGAGAGATTGCCAGCACAGTCTGCATAACACAACTCGCTCTCACCTCCGCCTCTGCAGCAAGCATCTCGCGTCTGGCCTCCTCAAGCTCTGCCTTCACCCCCTCCAGCTCCTGTTTGGTATCGCCCAGCTGTAATAAATGGAAGAGCAGTGATATTTAGATGGATGAGTTGTGCGCCAGGAAGAGAAAACTACCAAACACGGACCTAAAGCGATCCCCTGTCTTCACATGCTTGATTTCATTCCTTAATTAGAGCCATTAATCAATGGGTTTGAGATATGAGGCTTTGGAAGGGCCTGATGACACGACACCTTGCCACCTGTCAAAATTACAGCTTTCAGTTCATGCACCATCCCTCAAATAGTTCTTTTCTGCAAGCTTGGCTGCATCCCACAATTCATTATTTACTATATTGTCCTACCCCAGAGTAGTGCTACCTCCAAACATGCATGAGCGTTTCCAGAGGAAGTGCCACATGCTAGTGTGAAGCCCTACTAATGATCATTACATTTCAGATGAATTCAAATTAAAGGACATTATTATTGTTATTGCGATTAAGACAGCTGGTGTAATTGAGCAAACAATGCACAGCGTGCCTTGCGCTTGTTGTTGAGGGCAATGCAATACAAATGAAATTTCAATTTTAAAAATATCAATATGAAATTAAACGTTTTTCTTTCCGTCTCAGACATAATAAAATCGCACATCTAAACCTAATGAGCACTTTAAGAACCTTTCTGAATGATGAAGACTGATTTTTTTCTGCTCCTCAAACTCCAAGCTCAAGTCATTGATATTAAATTCAGCATATGACAAGCACTTTGAAGTCTATTAATTTAAGTACAGGCAGAAGGCCATCTTGGCATAGATTATGGTCCTTAGTGATATTTTGTCTTCAGTAGCCTCATGTTTATCTGAGCAATAATAAATCTGGCTTCATGTTGTTCAGTTCAGAGAGGGAATTTCATTGTGTATGCGTGTGTGCGCCTCTGTAAAATCCTGTTGCTTTGTTAAGGTGCTGCAAGCATTTCTAAAAGCACAGCGGCAGACTTCAGCCATGGTAAATTATTTAATGGGTTTTGGCCATTACATATAACACAAATTCCACAAAAGGCCCAATAAAATCAAATTAAATAAGTAGTGAGGATTTCAGAAAGAAAAACAATCAAGGACAATATTGCATCGAACTAAACAAAGAATTGCACTCAGGAAGAAAAAAATAATATTTACAAAGCGTTTTCAACTTTTGCACAACATGCAAAATATTAAGGAAAACATTGAATTGTAAGTCATGATGATGCACAATCAGTATAAGTCCAGGTTCTGAAGCTCTGTCTGAGCATTATACTGTAGGCAACCTTTTTTGTATTCAAAACACATTCCATATTATCCCTTTTCTGAGACTGAAAACATTTAGACTATAATTTGATTTGTTTTCTTTTTTGAGTAATCAACATCAGTTGTGTACACGAGCGTCCATGTTAAAGGAAGTAAAATAAAAGCAACAATCCGAAAGGAATTTTATGTTTGAGCATGCTGCTAAAGATGGGGAAAAAAAAAACCTAACCACCGCAAGTACTCTCACACATCACCCCTGAAAAGAAATCTCATTTCACCTTGGCAGCTGCTTTCATAATTTCTGCACTGAGGCTCTGTGTCACTCCTCTCTGCAGCTGATCCGAGCTACAGCTTCAAGATGCTTCTTTTCAACTGGCATGAAATCAGGTTTAAGAGCCACAGGAGCCTCGTGCCAGTGGGCAGCTTTTGGTGGCGGCCAGCGCACTGCGGCTGTCCCTCGCGGACGGCTCCCGCCGCGCGGCAGACCCGCGTGGCTCTCCCAGCTGAGCGTTTAAAGTGACCAGGAGGGACAGAAATGAAAACGAGAGATGATCTAGGTGCAACCGAGTTAACCTTCCTGTCGTTCCTGCCAGCCTCTTACACCGTCGCCCCCGCGCAGACCCGGGCCGCCGCACTCTCCAGGCGCTTCGGCCCAAAGTCTGCGGTGCGCGTCACACAACAGGACGGTATTTATGCAACAGTCTCATGAAGTGGTTTGTCCTTTAAATGCAACTTCGTGAGCGACACCAAGATCTCGGCACTTTTCATTCTTTGGCAGGCCTAATGTGTGAGAGCTCCGTAATCAGAACGCAGCACGTCTGCATCTCCGATGGCCTCCGTCACGCTGTAACTTGAAAGAGACAATTAACCTGAAAACCCCACTTGAGAGGGTGAATGAGCGCTGAGCAAAGGAGGTCACAGTAGCAGTGACACATAAGTACAATTTAATAAACAATATTCATTGCACTTAATTAGTGAATAACCAAATTCCAGATAAAGGGTGCTAAAATTTGTGTCTGCACCCGCATATATGATTAAAGACAAAATTAGTCCAGGTGGGTCGCTGCCTCAGCACGCGCCACACCCAAAGAAGGCTCCACGGCCGAAACGTTGTGTTTTCTTTCTTCTCGTTTCAGCATGCAATAAACACCTTGACTTGTTCCTTTAGAGATCAATAAGGTGAATTAAAGAATAATCTCGGGGCTGGCGAAGTTTTAGGACCCTTCGTTACCCTTTGTTTTCACAGTTATTTGAAAGCCATGCTTTTCATTTTAATCATTCAAATCGATTACAAATACTAGGCAATACTAATTGAAATTACTAATTGGAACAACAACAAATTTAATTTGATAAATTAATGTAAAAGATGTCAGAAATATGATCATTTTTAAATATTTTGAATGAAACAGACCGGATTATAACTGAAGATAATACCATAAGAACTCCTGATATTATTTTTTTCAAACGACACAGCTATAATTTTAATTGAACATTTAAAATGAAAATAAATATATATATATTATGCAGAGTTATACCTTTGTGTGAAAAATCTGTCAAAGTTTTGCTGGTTGTTCATTTCTGAACCTCCTGTTTTTTCAAGCTCTTATTTGTCAATTTCATCTTACTCCCTTATAATTCAGCACAAACTTTCACTCTTTACTTAATATAGATCCCTGTGTCTCTCAAAACCAATCACAACAAGACACCATAAATGAGAGACGGCATCTTATCAATCAAAGAGAGCATGAATGGAATTGATATCTTCTCTTTCTGACAATTCTCCATATCTGTACAGCACATGTTCTTAGACTGAAAGCAACAGTATAAGTGGAAAACCAATCAAATCAAATGTGAGGTCTAATCTGATTGCATGTTCATTTACCTTAAAACAAAAGTAGGCATTCCCCTTTTAAAAGTATATATATGGGAATTAAACAGATTTTAATAAACACTTCACCATTAATCACTCGGTTTATACAACACAGACCCTCCATCTTATTCCTTAATTTTATTGTTTGTTTTTACTCACTGTAGCAGCCTTAGAGTCCCACAAAGCAGATTAGGTTTTCTGATCTGGTCACCAGAAAACAGTGAGGTCATTCAAAGGTTAAATAATTCAATGCTGCAGGCATGATTATAATACCTTAGTATTTGATTAAAACTAACATTTATCGTGCATACTGTCTTCATTTCTTAGTTTTAAAGCCTGAGAACGGGGAATTTTTCAAGAATTCCTGCAGGTAATTGGTAAGGAATTTTACATCTTCAATTTCTTAACTACTGGCATTATACATTAAAACCGACACTGAATACATGCATGAGAGCAAAATGTAGTACCACAGGGCCTACATTAAAGCTACTCAATGATGCTGAAACCTAAGAACATATTAAATCATCTTTATATATGTAGGGAATGCATAATGTAGCTTACTTTCTCAGTCATCTTTTAAGATACACCACGCACAGATGAGAAACAAAGCAAGGAGCAACCTTAAAACAGGCTGCTTTTGTATTCAGCTGCTCTCAGTTAACATTTCAGTGCCTCTCCATGTTCTGCAGCAAATTTACTTTAAGCTTCAATCCTGTGACAGATTCAATCAACCTATTTTGTGGGAAAACAGGTCATATTCGCTGCAGAAAGGCTTCATATTTAAAGAATAAAAATCTCCAGCAAAGTGATATTGAAACTGACAAGATGTAGGAATGTAAAGACAATCGCACTGGGAAAAAAAGTGCAGCTGCAACAGGTATTTTAGCTGATACAATACATTCTTTTACACTTTGGGGATCAACAGTTAAGCCTAAATTCATCTTGGAAAAGCAGAAGAACTGAAAAGAAAAACATTTCATCAAAGACACCGCTTCAGAATAAAATGATTGTCTGTTTTGCTTATGTTCCCAAGAAAATATTTCAGACGTGTATGCCCAAAGGCATCAGATTTCTTAACGACAGCAGGACACAGTATAAGTTATTAAAACAGTTTTGTACAGTAACCTAATAATTATTTCTTAATTGAAACATCAGATGCATTCAAAAGCTTATTTGCTGTCAGCATGAATAAAGGTTTATGCATTAAAAACGTGAATAATAATCTGAATATGTATTCATGTTTTTCTTCCTGCTTTAATTACTGATTAAATAGGGATCATTGCATAACATACAATGCAAAACAGTTCTTCTGTCTTGAAAATGCATAAAAATGTTTTTTGTTTCCATATTTTCTCTTATGTTTTAAGGGACATTCCAATAATAACACAGCTTAGTGATCTTGTCCAAAACTTCAGCAGTTTGAAATTTGATCTCGCGTATTCTCTGCAGTGCTTTAGATGTGAGGTTTGATAATGGTAGGTATAACAAATATGTGATGACAACAGATTTCCAAACAGTACCGGATCAGTGAAATGTTCTGCTGAATAATGTATGAAGTATAAAATATTAGGAGAACTCCTTGTCATTCATATTCTTCTGAGCCATAGAAGTCTCTTCACTTTTATTTAAAAGGTTTCTTACTGAAGTTCCAAACAGAACTGAAATGCCTTCACATAGCAAGGCATGCTTTGTGTTTAGGACAACATGCAATTTTTTAAATTAATATCAATTGCAACTACACATAAGTCCACTACATCAGACAGTAATCCATTCTATAGATTCAATTTTGTTATTTACATATGAACATGACTGAGCAAACAAGCTCATTTAAAAAGTTCACATGCTAATGTGTGACATTTAAACCAAACTTTACATTAGAAAAGGAAATAAAACCATAATTTTTCAATGCTTTTCACGTTCCTGGACTTATTTATGACATCAAAACCAATGTTAACCTACAAAAAGGATTTCTTCCATTCAGTACTTTACACCCACGAAAATAACTCACTCCACAAAACAGGCATACTTAAGAGGTCAACGAAATATTTATCGATATGTTGGAAAAAGGAAGGCATCAAGATTTTCAACTGAAGTGCAAGTCAGACATCAATACCAGGACTAACATAAAACCAATACATTTATATACAGTGCAACATGAGATCTCTATCATGCCTGTATGCTCATCAATATGTCATTTTGAGATAATTAAGCTGAGGAGTAATAAGGGTAATTTATGAAGTAACTGCAGTTCAGGGTAGTTAATGGCATTTCCGTACTGTACCTGGCATGTGGCCTGCTTATATAAGTTACGGGAGGCTTCGAGTTCAGTCTGTAATTGTTCCATCTGAGCCACCACTTGCAGAGCTTCTCTCTCTTTGTGTTTCTGTGTTTCCTGAATCTGTAGCATCCTGTGCTCCTGTGCTTGCCGCTTCAAAAAAAAGAATTGAAAAAAATCCAAAAATAAAAACGTTTTACAACCGCAAAAACCACCACACGGCATTCGTTTCCCAGCACTTCAAAGAGATCCAATCTGAATTCTGATAACCTCATGCAAGTGATTACTAAAATATGCTAACAGCAGTCACAAGACTGTCTGCACGGTCAGCATTCATTCAAACGGCTTATATTTAGCTTATGTGCAAAAAGAAAAGATTATTTTTAATCTGAGAAATAAAGATGTGTTTTGTGTGTAAAAATCTTATGATTTCTCTGCTGCATGACTATTGCTGCACTGTGCAGACTCACACTGCACTACAGCCCTTCTACAAACACAGCAAACACAATAGGTTTCATTTTCTGGCACTTTGTTTTAATTTCATACCTCAGCAAGGAGTCCATCTTTTTTCTCTTGCAGTAGAAGTATTTCCGTCTGCTGTCTCTGTAGCTCCTCTCCTCTTTTCTGAAGCTGCAAGTTTATACACAAAAGCAAACCACAATGTCAACCAATTGGACCTCACTTAAGCAACCTGGGTGATCGATTCGAAAAGCAGAGGATGAACAGGACCCCATTTCTGCAGTATGGTGTTCAAACTGCTCATTCATTAAAAGATGCTCTTTCTTATTGATTTTGGCTTAAGTAATGAGAAAGCTTATCCAAAAATCTTTAGCATTTGGGCTCAAGTTAAGGAAATCGATACGACCATTTCCCATTTGAACAGCATATGTGAATTTTATGTACGAAAGACAAGACAAAGACAAAATCGGATAAATCAATAGCATTTGTCGATACAACATAAAGCTGACAAATGGCGTTTTTAAGCAATTAAAGTGAGCTGTAAACATACGAAGGCTAATCAATTCAGATGTTTTTTCTATTATCAGTATTTAAACGCTGATTTAAATTATCCCAGATGCATAATTTGACTCTAAATAGGTTAAGATCCAAGCTTCGGATTAAAAAAAAAACAAAAAGCAAATGTGTCTGGAGAAATTTATAAAAGAACAAAATAGTCGACCTCCCCCCCCTCACCTTCTTGGCTATAAGGAAACAAAGAAATGCTACCAGTGTCTTTTTTTGTTTGCCTTCAGCAATAAATATTTTACAAATCCGTGCTGAAGTCCAGGGGGGGCCTGACTGTTCGCTCACCGAGTAACTCGGGGAAACCCTATGAATACCTGGTGCCGTCCATTAACCAAGAGAGAGCAGTTTGCAGAAAAGCATGGGTGCTCGTTTTCTGGTCGCTCCCCAAAGAAGGCACTCACTAACCCCATCAGTGAGCAACTCGACCCTTGCGCCCCACAAGCTTGACATCAGGACCCTCCCAGCACCTCTGGGCCTGCTGGGGACCTTGGCAGGACCCTAGTCCAAAGGGTCAGGCCGCTGGTGTCCCTCAGGTCTGGAGCCACTCCACAGCTTGTCCACATGGGGCTTCCAGCTGACCCACATCTGCTCCATGACGTGTCTTTTACCCATAGCTGCACACAGCCAACAGAGGGAAACCAACAGGAGCAAAGGTGGACCATCTTAGTAAAAATAATAAAACGGTAAAAGCCAAAGATCCTCATTCAGGATCCGGAATGAAGCTAAACATTAGCTTCAGATTTTTAAATCACATACTGTAGCTTCCATATTTTGCACTATCCCTGCAAGCAAACTAATGTGTATCATTGTAACATGGGACAGGTTAAAAAATAATACAGCACCAAGTACAAAATAATTAGAAGAATATATTTTAGTGCAAGAACTGTGTCCCCATAACCTATTTATAAATATCTATGGTATATTTTATGTGTATAATAATAAGATAATGATAAAATCGTAGGTTTTGCAGGATTTGAAAAGCTGACACCTATAGCATGAAGAAACAGATAAAAGTGAAGCCACTATACGGGAGCTGGGAGCTTGAAAATTCCCAATATCTACACCTGTTCGTTTGGAAACCGGTGATGGAGACCAAGGGAAGTCATTTTCCTGGGAAACCTGCACTAGCATGTCTTTTAGAAAATGACATCCCAACGTAACAGCTCTAAAACCCTTCTGGGATTTACTTCAACTGATACCGCGAAGCGTCAAAGGTGAGTTCTGTGTTAGTAAAGCTAAACTAAAGAAGAAATTTCCCCAAGGTAATTGCTTGCTCCATTAATATTCATAAAGAGCTGATTCTTATATCAGTCGCGTGGTTTGTCTCTGGCGTGCCATGTACCTTCTGCAGAATTCAGACCGGCTACATATGCAATAGGCAGAAGACAAGCCAGGGAAAAACATCAGGGGGGGAAAAAAATCTTTGATATTCCTCATATATTTGCAAAATGTTGCGGTTCATTTTTTCAGAATTTTATCAAAAGACATTCATGTTTTTGTTTTGTCTTTTGATGCTTTTCTGCACCCCCTTTCTGCGCTGCGTTTCTGCCTTACAGAAGTAGTTTAATCACGCGTAAGAAATTACTAGCTTCTCTGTTCGTGAAGCATGACATTTCAATTGCACAGCCAATAAAAGTATTACATGAAGAGGGCTGAAATGATTTACTGTCTGGAAAGCCTGAAGACCAAGGTTACCATGGTGAGCTGCCTTTTCCATGTATACAAGGTCAAGTGAAAATGACCTATCCATGTGCAAACCTCAGTCTTATCACATCATAATGTTACTCACGTAACAGATGGGTGTTCTCTGCATTAAATGATTACTTTTTTTTCATTAAACATTTTATGCAAGGAAAACATTCTTCTTTCAACACATGCATAATTACTCAAAAATAACACAAAGAAGCTACTTTTCACTTTTCAGTGGTCATAGTTTTATGAACAGAACAACATATCATAATCCATGTGTATTCCACTCCCTTCCACCCCAAAGACAAGAACAAAGAAGGTATAACTGTCTGTATAGTAATTCTATATCTGGCCTAAGATTTTTGTGCTGGAGCGTAAGTAATCTGAAGTCTTATTCTTGTGCAGAACTGTGCTTTTATAAATGTCTCTAGAATTACACACGCTATAAGAAAATAAAACCCTCTGGGCTATGAATCTGTTGGATTTGGAGAGGTAATCATCAAATATTTAAGATGAAAATGCAGTAACAGATGCTAGCTGTCATGTGTAAGCTTAGTGAATGTTATGACACGGCTTTTAAAACATTTATATGCAGAGCATTTTGATGAAAATATTCATTAACTCACAGGAACCTTTTTGTCTGTTGAGCATCATTGCAAGAATGTGCAAAATATATACACCTACAGAAATGCAAATAATATCAATAAAGACAGTCAAGGCTGTAAAAAATCCTACTGTTAATACATACTTTCAAAAAATGAAAACGCACATTATTTAATTTTGTCTGAATTTAAAAAATAACATCTTATTTTCAAGGTTTCAAAGCAATAAAAACAATTACATTTTAAAAATCAAGATCTGATTCTCAATAAATAAGGATCACTATGTAAAACTAAGGAAACTGCATGTTATTTTTATTTTACCTTCAATTCATCTAACACTTGCTAATGTCAACTTGAAATATTTTGGTGGTTTCAAGGTTTTGTTTTAATTGCAACACAAACAAAAAAAAAAACTCTCCAGTTCACAATATCAAAAAATATTCTGGAAAAAACAAATTTACTTTATAGCATGGAGGTAGAAGTGTTAATATTTGGCAGATTAACAAACTACAGAAGATGCATTTGTACATCATGATTCCACTCTCCAGAGACTCACAGCACCCCGAGTAAAAGGGTACCTGAGGGTAAAGGGTTTCCTTCTCTTTTTAAAACGAAAGTTAAAATTATACACTTTTTAAGCTCCTTGCAAGAGTATTCAGACCCTTCATATGGTGTCCCATTTTGTGAAATAACAAAACAATGCATAAACTTTAACCTAAATTTTACTTAAAACCTCAAAGCTCAAAATGAAGACTTCTAAGCGCAAGACAATGTACAGTAAACATCATCAAAAAATAAATATGTTGATTGCATAAGTACTCCGACTGTGAAATCAATATTTGGTAGAAGCACATTTGGCAGCAATTAGAGCCACAAGTCTTTCTGGGTGAGTCTCTACCATCTTCGCACAGCCACCATTCTGCTTCCTGCAGAGTCTCAACAGGACTCAAGTCAGGACTTCAGCTGGGCCACCCAGTGACATTCACCTTCTTCCTCCACCACGGCAGTGTGAGTCACATTCCTCCTCATGTGCTGTATGTATACAGACGTCAAGGGATGCGTGGTAAAAGGTTACTGTCCACTACTGTCCAAGGAAAAATACATCTTCATTTCTTACCATGGTTATACCTCACATTTCTTCCTTTTCATGCCTTACAATGATTAAACATTAATGCCGTAAATGTGCAATTGGTGATCAAGATTACCTAAATGTGATGTAAAATAAACCACACTTTCTATCTTAAAGGCCTGACCAGCCAATACTGAGTGATGAGCAATGAACGGAGTTTGTACTTGTCTGATTTGGAGTTTCTGTGCCAGTGTTTGCACAGTAATTTAGACTACTGTTTCTATGCCATTGAGTTTGGGTTAGTAGACATTTACTGACTTCTCAAGGAAGCTGCTGATTTCTTATGCAAGCTGCAGCATATAAGATCAAAACAGATGTGCACTATTCTTACTGCAGCCACGTGATCCAGGCCCTCCTGGCAAAGACTCAGATGCCCAGTGATGTATTCAGACTGTTACAGTCACTTCATCATCATCTCTAGAAAAACGAACTGAAAATAAATGTCACTGGTTTTCTTCTTACAAACAACAAGACTACTGTTTTCAGTGACTCCACTTACAACAAGCAGTTCAGCAGCAGCAATAATAATAATAATAATAATAATAATAATAATCACACAATTTATACAGCTATTTTAATCTAAAAAGTGTTTTACATATAGGAGCCAGCAGCCATATCATCCTGTAACTCACAATGGGCAGCCCCCTGAAGCCCAGCAAGTGTGAGCCTGGTCAGTACCTGGATGGGAGGCCTCCTGGGAAAAACTAAGGTTGCTGCTGGAAGAGGTGTTAGTGGGGCCAGCAGGGGGCGCTCACCCTGTGGTCTGTGTGGGTCCTAATGCCCCAGTATAGACCGGGGACATTATTCTGTAAAAAGGCACCGTCCTTTGGATGAGATGTAAAACCAAGGTCCTGACTCTGTGGTCATTAAAAATCCCAGGGTGTTTCTCGAAAAGAGTAGGGGTGTAACCCCGGCATCCTGGCCAGATTTCCCCTTGGCCCTTACCAATCATGGCCTCCTAATAATCCCCATCTATGAACTGGCTTCATCACTCTGCTCTCCTCCCCGCTGAGAGCTGGTATGTGGGGAGCGTACTGGTGCTATGAGTGGAGTGTCCAGAAAAGTACTATACAAGCGTAAATAATTATTGTTTTACTATTGTTATGCTTATTATTGTTGTTGGTGTTGAATGAACCACAACCCCAGCCTCTATGCCTCCACTGCACCACTACACACAGATGATA